TTCATTGGTTTATTAGAGATACAATGTGCTCTGAAGAATGTCACAAATCCACATGGTGTCCCTGAACGCTTGATTTTTGCATATGGATCGCTGACTTAGCTGAACGATGTATAAAATCCTGTGTAGCCAGGCAGCTCCCAACTGAATACACTTCTAAGGGAGGTTATACGCATTGCTCCTGCCAGCAAAGGTCTGGAATATGTTAAACTGCAAAAAAAAAATCACTGAACAGAATATAGAGAGTGAAGAAAAGAGCTATAATGGCTCTTTTGTAACAAATCGTTTCCACTTTTTAGGATCTTTGGGCACAGGCACCTCTAGAATCATCGGTGCGTTGCTTATTTGTGTAGCAGCATTTCAGCATTTTCTTTGGCAAATATCAGACCAAAGGGGTTTGGATCATGCATGGCAGGGACAGAACCTGAGAGAGCAGCAGCAGCTCAGTAAAATATTACAACAATGACATGAAAATGGAAGAAAAAGAAAATGGAGCAAATTCTTCCAGAATCCGAATTTAACAGCACACAGAAATGGAATTAAGCACACCTTTATTTTGAAAAATATCTAATAATAGAAACAAATAGCAGAATTGAAAGGAGAAAACGAAAAGAATATTTTGAGGTAGTGATGATCATCTGTTGGATAAAATGATTAGCGAATTGGAATTTGTGGGACCGTGGTGAACTTGCAGAGTGAGACACAATACAGAAAAGAACTCATTACTGCCAACAGTATGAAAAGGGAGCAGTCAGAGTGTTGTGGCCGATGATTTCTGCGTGCTAAGCCCCGCTAGTTCTCCCTGCCCACCTGTGACGCAGGCGGGCTCAGCTGGAGCGTGCCCCTTCCACAGGGGCTGATGCCTCAGTGCTGCTGTGCCTGGGCTGCGGGAGAGCCTCGCTGCAGCCTCGCTGCCATTGTTTCAGCACAAAGAAGAGGAGAGCTCTGAACCTGGGCAGCTGAGCGAGAGCCTATCCAAATCCTGCTATGCCAGAGACCCTTGGAAGGGAGGCAGTATGTCAGACATATGGTTGGAACATGCTGTGCTCCAGCCATCCTCGGCTAGCGTATGGTCTCCCGAGTACCACTGCCAGCTGGGCTCTAATTTACACTGGGCCTGAGAATCAGGGACCTTAGCAGTCTCCCTGATGGTCTCTTCTCCTTTGCTTCACTGATTTCAGATATGCAGCTAGTCAGAGCTTTCCATTTTCCCTGTCTGGCATTCTTTCAGACAGACACAGAGGGATATCCTTCTTTACTTTAACAGCGTGTTTGGTTGAAAAAGCAGAGCCAGATATTCTGTGGGAGTTAAATTTCAGCATCCTGACTCTGTAGAATATTTTATATTCATGGTGTCACAGCAGATGTCATGCAAGTATGTAAAGTTAATAAAACACGCATCCCTAAAGCAACTGATACAGAAACAGCATTGCCAAGTAGTAGAAATTATACTTATCTGTTCTAACCTGTGTCTTTGAGGATTCATATGCATGTTCACTTTCCATGGATTTGCACTCTTGACTTTGTAAACATTGTATTATTCCACATTTCTGTCGTGGGTTTCTTCTCAGAAAAAGAAGAACAGAATGCTTGTTGGTATAAACTCCTTAAGTAAGAGGCATATTTCTCATCTTGAAGTGCATGTTGAATGGTGTGCAGAGAAGAAAGTAATAGAGGTCTTTGTTAAACCCTTGTTTAAACTTTAGTTCAAGTGTTTTATTACAGTGTCACAGATTTTTCCAGTCTTCACTTTGAACTGTTATTGAAGGAATTAATTTGTATTTTTATATCCAACTTTTAGTTTGCAGTTAGCATCTGAGATGTAAAACCTGTAGAAGAAATTTGTAAACAGATGAATTCAATACAATTTGAAATAAAAATTATTTGATACTACTAGCCCCAGCATAGTAGTCTTCTTGGTTTGTAGCAAAAATTACATGTTTCTGCTTTGTTAATTTTTGGAACATTATGCTAAATCTGCTTTATGCAAAGGGTTGTTGTGCACATTTAGTATTTTTGTGAATGCTATTCAGTTGAGCTTTCTGTTGTCAAGGCATCCTCTTCGGAAAAAGGTGCACATATATTTTCAGATGTGATAGTCTTTAGTGAATAAAGGCATTTGAAAAGTCCTTGCACAAAACAGTTTCACTTTAATCCCTCATTTCTGAAGACACTGTGTTAAGTCTAAGAGAGGAGATCAGCCTTGGCTGATCTGCTGCTTGCTCAGAAGTGTCTTTTCTTGTAAAACCTTGTAAAACCTTGGAGTTAGTTTTCCAGACCAATTCCCGTTCCTTACAAGATATTCTTGAGTTATGACATAACCAAGGAACCTCCTGGCTAGGAACTGCCTTTCCTCTGAGGAATTGGTGATTTAATAGTAAAAGGGTAAATGAACTGAACAGGTGGAAATACTCTTCATTCAACAGGACCATGGAGGTGTCCAAGGACAAGTAGTATCATCTACGTCTCCAAGACTCTCCAGTTTCCTCCCCTTGCTGCTTTGCTTCAGTTCTTGCCTGCTATTTCAGATGACACTGGTAATTTTTGGAGCAGTGATAGTTTTGTGTATCCAACACACAGGAGCTCATTTCTCATCTGGGCATCAACACTGACCACACAATTGCTTGCAAGAGTTGTGTCATCAGCTATGATTAAATGATAAGGGATGCAGTAAAAAATTACACTTGGGTCTGTGCAGGATCCCATATTTCTTCTCATTTGCTGCTTTTTAGAGTTTCTCTCTTCTGTCATAGGCCTGAAATTCAAACGCAGACTCGTCCCCCTGTGGACCAGGTATTTACTTGCTTTTCATGAGCATCTACATTGATATTCCCAGAATGGCAGGGACGGGAGGGCACACGTTTTGCCTGTGAAGAGTGCAGATCTTCCAAGAGGATTAAAGATTAATTGCATCTGGGGAATGGTAAAGCAGGGTGTGTGACTTGTGGCCGTGGCTTTCCTGAGGTCAGTGATGGCAGAGGCAGAAACTCTGTCCTTTCCTCTTCACATTTGGTGGAGCCGGTAAGAAACTGGAATGGCTTACAGGAAGGGAAAGGAGGCCACTCTTGGAGGACATCTCGGCCACAGTCTTCCTCCTGTGTCCCCTCTTCATCCCTACAGTTTTGCCTGTTGTTTCCCCAGACGAAGGCCCCCATCTGATTGTTCTCTGCTCAGCAGCTCTGCCACAGTAGAATAGCAAGTCCCCATCTCTCCTGTTATGCTGCATGAAACTAAAAATATCAACCCCACTGGAGTTACTTCTACATTAAAGATGTAAGTGAAATAAAAAAAAAAAAAAAATCACTTTTGGAGCTTTTTATTTTTGATTTAATTTTTAATTAATCTTAATTAATTTGAATTTTGAAGCGATCTGAAAAATAGTTTTAAATGAATATATAGATATATATATTTCGGTGGGTTTTCCACTCGTATCCACTGGCGAGATAATGAATAATGCAGGACAGAAGCTGTGGTCCCCGTTTGTATGGCCGAGGTCGGGGCTTTGCTCAGACCTGGCGTGGGGCGAGCGGGGGCCGGCAGTCCCCATGCCGCCATTCTGGCCCCAGGGCATCGGGGAGAGCCCGCAGGGCCCGCCCGGGTGCGGGAGCCGTGCTAGGGCCTGGGGCAGCAGCTGAGTCCCGCTCCTGCCTGAGCCTCGCCTCAGCCTTGCTTCTGCCTGAGCCTCAGCCCCGCTCCTGTCTGAGCCCCGCTCCCGCCTGAGCCCCGCTCCTGCCTGAGCCTCAGCCCCGCTCCTGTCTGAGCCTCGCTCCTGCCTGAGCCTCGCCTCAGCCTTGCTTCTGTCTGAGCCTCGCCTCGGCCCCGCTCCCGCCTCAGCCCCGCTCCCGCCTCAGCCCCGTT